GCCAAGAAATCCAAATTTGAACCTTGCACACTTTGGTCAAATGCAGCAGATTGGCAATGGGAATTTTGTCTCTGAAAATAGCAGTGAGGCCTCTTGGTTCCCAGACTCAGGAGCCACCACACATGTGACAAATGACTTGGGAAATCTCAACATAGGTTCTGAATATAATGGAAGTAACAGGCTGCAGATGGGAAATGAAGCTGAAATCAATATCAGTCACATTGGTAATTCCTTTTTTAAATCATCTCAGAACTCAAAAACTTTTCTCTTGAAAAACTTATTGCATGTGCCATCTATCACAAAGAATTTGCTGAGTGTGTCCTCCTTTGCATCTGACAACAATGTATTTTTTGAGTTTCATCCCACTTACTGTCTTGTGAAGGATCAAACAACCAAAGATATCCTTCTCAGAGGGAATGTTAGAGATGGACTTTATCACTTCAATCTTCAGAGGACAAGAGTTTTTGGAGACCATCAAATTACACCTCAGCCACTCAATCAACAACATCAAGCTCAAGTGAATCATACTGCCTTAAATAATGAGATAGCCGACCTGTGGCATCTTAGACTAGGACATTGTAGTCAAGATGTAATAGAAAAGGCATTAAACTCTTGCAATTTACCTTATTCCAAGAATGGCAGTGATAAACTATGTTCATCTTGTATGCTTGCTAAGGGGCACAGACTATCTTTTGGTCATTCTGAGAATATTTGTACTAAACCTCTTGAGTTGATTCATTCAGATTTATGGGGACCTGCTCCCATTAAGTCCTCAAATGGATATCATTATTATGTGAGCTTTATTGATCATTTCAGTAGACATGTATGGGTTTATTTGCTGAAATCGAAATCTGAAGTCTATAATGTGTTTATTCATTTTAAAAGTCTGGTTGAGAATCAGTTCAACTGCAAGATTAAAGCTTTACAATCAGATGGTGGAACAGAATATAAGGTTTTGAAGGAGTTCCTTAACTCACAAGGCATACATCACAGAATCTCTTGTCCATACACACCCCAACAAAATGGGGTGGCAGAGAGAAAGCACAGGCATTTAGTTGAAATGGGATTATCTCTTCTTGCACATTCAAACATGCCTTTGAGATTTTGGGATGATGCAATAACCACAGCAGCCTTCTTGATCAACAGGTTACCAAGTAAGGTCCTTAACTACAAAACTCCTCTAGAATGTCTTGTTGACCAGAAACCAGATTACACTTTCTTGAAACCCTTTGGGTGCTTATGTTACATATATGTTAGGCCTTGGAACAAACATAAACTACAATACAGATCAGTGCCTGGTGTCTTCATAGGGTACAGCTTGCAGTATAAGGGGTACAAAGTTCTTCTTCAATCTGGAAAGGTAGTGATCAGCAGGCATGTGGTGTTTAGTGAAGAAGAATTTCCTTATAAGAACAGAAAGGTTCAAAATTCTCAACACTATAGCCATGAGCCAAATGAAACTCACAGAGGTTATGAAGAACATGGATCCATACACCAACCAGCTACAAGGCCAGTAACTCATGAACCATTGCAGAACCAAAATTCAAACAATGAGGGTCAAGAATCTCACAGTCCAAGACATTCTTCACCACACTCCTCACCTATTGGACATTTTTCTCAAAGATCCTCACCTCAAACAGTGACATCCTCTCATAGCACTGTACCTTTGGTGGTTGAACTGCCATTGAACAATGAACAACAAGCAGTTGAAGATCAAAATAGACCAGGAAACAATGATAATTCCAACAGACATCATATGGTCACAAGGTCAAGGACAGGACATCTTAGACCAAGAGCTTGGACAGCACTCTATGACATCGAGCCAAAGAATGCAGAAGAAGCCCTCAAGTATGATGTTTGGAGAAATGCTATGAATGCAGAACATGAAGCTCTCATCAAAAATAAAACCTGGTCCCTTGTGCCCTTACCAGAGGATAAGAATATAATTGGATGCAAGTGGGTGTTCAAAATCAAGAAAAACTCAGATGGAACAATTGCCAGACACAAAGCTAGGCTGGTAGCACAAGGGTATTCACAACAAGCTGGTTTTGATTTTCATGAGACATTCAGTCCAGTGGTGAAGCCTACAAGCATTAGGATAATGTTAAGTGTGGCTGTGCAACAAGGATGGAACATAAGGCATTTGGACATCAACAATGCATTTCTCTATGGGGACCTACATGAGGACATATACATGAAGCAGCCTCTAGGTTTTGAACAAAAGCAAGATGAGACTGAACTGGTCTGCAAGCTCACTAAAGCCATTTATGGCTTGAAACAAGCATCAAGGGCTTGGTTTGAGAAGATAGGAAATATCCTCTCCACATTTGGTTTTACAAAGTCAAGAGCTGACACATCACTGTTCTACAGACTGGGGAAGACACATCAGACTTACTTGTTGATATATGTGGATGATATCCTCATAACTGGGAATGACAGACAGGAAGTCCAAAATGTGGTGGATCAACTAAAGAAATTCTTCTCACTGAAGGATTTGGGAAATGTCAGACAGTTTCTTGGTATCAATGTAATGGAGACCACTGAAGGGTTGTTCCTAAATCAAGAGCAATACATTAAAAGCTTGCTGAAAAAGGCTGGAATGGAAACTGCTAAGAGATGTCCAACACCAATGATCACTTCAATCCAATTGTCAAAGGCTGAAGGCAATGAGAATGGATTGAGCAGCACTCTTTACAGGAGCCTGGTTGGTGGATTACAATATGTTACCATCACAAGGCCAGAGATATCTTTTTCAGTCAACAAAGTCAGTCAATTCATGGCAAATCCCTTGGACACTCATTGGAAAGCATTGAAAAGAATATTAAGATATCTTGCGGGGTCCTGCGATTATGGACTGACTATCAAGAAGAATGATTCCTTAAAAATAATGGCCTTTTCAGATTCAGATTGGGCAGCCGATGTTGATGACAGAAAATCAGTAAGTGGCTTTTGCATTTATCTAGGAGGAAACTTGGTTTCATGGAGTTCGAAGAAGCAAGCTTTTGTATCAAGATCAAGCACAGAAGCTGAATACAGGAGTTTAGCCAATTGCGCAGCTGAAATCACCTGGATACAATCATTGTTGGATGAGCTGCAAATAAAGATCAATGGTGTGCCAACAGTGTGGGTTGATAACCTTAGTACTATTGCCTTAGCTTCTAATCCAGTGCAGCATGCCAGGACAAAACACATAGAATTGGATTTACATTTTGTGAGAGACAAAGTTTCAGCTGGGAAAATACAACTAAGCCATGTTCCCAGTGAAGAGCAAACAGCAGACATTTTTACAAAGGCTTTGGGTCTGCAATTCTTCTCTCGACACAGACCAAAATTAAATATTTGTTCAAAGGGCTCGATCGAATTGAGAGGGGGTGTGAAAAGCCATGTCATATTCGCTGCAACATCCAAGGAAAAAGAAAAGGCAGCCACATCAGAGTTAGTCAAGGAGACTTGCATGAACACGTGGACGACTTCTCATGCAAGAAGACAAACTGTAGCAAGCTGTAAAAGCTGTGGAGAAGAGAGCATGTGGTCACACTCCCATTGGCCATCTGATAGGATTAAATCTGAGCCATTGTTAAAAAAGCATTCTTTGTATATAAATGGCATGAAAAACGTAGCCTAGGTTTAAGCAACATATTTGTCCATTCCTTGTTCATGAAAAACCCTTGTATGCATTTATGAGATCTATGAAAATGAATCTGGTTGTTTCTCATTTCAATATCATGTCTATGAGTTTTCTTTTCACCTTAGTTTGGAAAAGCTATCCGATGGCCGTTTGTTCATTAACATCCTTCAACGCTTTTCAACACAACATTTTCAAAATGACATGTTATATGTCCATGCTCCTCCTGCTAGGGATGTTAGAATAGTATTTTGTAATTACAGCTTATATTTAAAATCTTGTAAAACAGAAAAATATTTTCATTGCGTTAGGAAAATAGCACTTTTACATTGTAGGTGGTATAAATACCACAAACCCAATTGTAAATACACTTTTATACTCCCAAACCTTTTATTCGTTTTATACAGAATTCTTTCCTTTTTAGTTCGTTTCAATCCCATCTGTGAATGTCAGATTCTTCAATATTCAACATGCGGTCTGATCATATCATAATCGCCGTGGCCAAATTTGGATTTCGGGTACTCAATTATAATAGCAGTGTCATTTCCTTGTAACGTTACTAAAGATATTCTCCTTGGTGTAGTTTTTCGAAATAAGAGTTTCTCAAATATTAATTTAATTGGACTAAAGAGGAGTAATCAATGATAAGCATAGTTTTTAAACCTGCTATGGGAATTAGGTCTTCGTTCACCGGTTCAACCGTCGGGTTGCTGAGTCTATTGCTGAACCGACTAATTAATTTTAAAATTTTTAAAATTATATATAGTATTTTTGGCATATAGGTATACATAAAAGTAACAAAATAAAATATTTTGTATATAAAATTTGTACATTAAAGTGCTAATATTAATGTATCTCATAATAATATTTATTATATAAATATATATACATAGTTTTTATTTTTGAAATACAAAAGTATTTTAAAAAATAAAAAAAATGAAAAAAACTATAGGGACTGGGTCAACCGGGTTGACTCGGCCGTGTTGACTGGGTTAATTGTTACCCGATCCTCATAGCTCACCCGGACCGGTTCCAGATCCGGGTCGACCCACCGAGCCGGTCTAGTTTGAAAGAACTATGATGATAAGTCAAGAATCACACAATTCATCGGGGTGTGCTACCCTCGACAAGTCCCAGATTAACTATTAGGCCTTGGCCTCCTTCTTTGTACCAAAAAAAAAAAAAATTCAAATAAAAGATCACAGATTTTTTTTTAAAGAAAAAAAAAGAGACAATATTTTCAGTAATTACTTTCCGGGCACATGAGCTGCACACCAACTTGAAACAATTATTTAACCATGTTTTACAAACTGATAAGTGCTTTTATTTTTTATTTTTTTTTTAAATTTAAACCTTGCATCATGGTTACGCCTTCCTAATTCTGATTGGGCTTTGGTGGGATCACGGAATCGGGCTCACTATGGATGCTCATGGGCCCATGGGACAAGCGAAGGCTTCTCATATCCGGTGACATGGGCTCACTAAGCCCATAGGACGAGCGTAAGCTTCCCAAATTCGGCGGTAGCACGGGCTCGCTAAGCCCATAAGACAAGAGTAGGCTTCTGGACTTCGGCGTTGTGACCACCGGGTTTTTATTGACATCATCTGAATTAGCATGAGAGAAGGCATTGATCATGAGGAGCAAATTAATGGCCAAGAGGAAGAAAAGAAGACTGTTTAGTTTGGCTGCCATCTTGGGATTTTTATTTTTTCTCTTTAATTTGTTCGGTGTGTGTTTCGAATTGTTTTCTGAAAAGTGGCCTTTTTATAGAGGGGTTTGGACTTTGGAGCATTTGGGAAGTAGTTCTAAACTCAATCCCAAAAAATTAAAATACTACTAATAATAATAAAAAAAAAAAAAAAACTAATTAAAAGGAGATAACGAAAGCATGATGTTGTTTTCAAAAATCCCATTAAGGCAGGCAGACGTAAATTCCGTATATTTTGCGATTGAAAAAAATATCAACTAATTAATTAAATTGTGAATATATATTTAAATACGTGAAATATGAAATATGAAAGTATTTTTCATTTTTAGACATTGTGTTTTGATTTCTATTAGTTAGTTGGTATTTTCAAAATTGCAAAAGTCATTGGACGTGTTTATTACCTACCCAAATTAGTGAATTACTCGTGAAGTTTATATTTATGTCTCCCATGGTCTTATAATGGACATGCACATGGGTTGTAGTCAGAGCCAGTCAAGTTATTTGAATTTAGCTCAATTACTTGGGTTGATTTGTTAAATAATAATAATAATAATTATAATAATAATAATAATAATAACTACTTTGTTGATGAGGAGAATTATGTAGTTGTGTCAAGCATTTAAGTATCAATAGCTTTGTACTCAACATGGGTGCATCTAAAAAATTTCATTGTTCTCTGGATCGAAAATAAATTGAACATCAATAATGCTCATGTTAGGTGTTACTTTCTGGGTATAAAAATTACACGGGAATCCTACGAACTGATATGTATTTTTCAGTTCTTACAAATAATCTAAAAAAAAAATAGAAAATTACAATAGAATTGAAAAAATAAATTACAATTGGAAAATAAATTAAAACCTAAAACGGAAAGATTTTAGCCGAGGCGAGTAAAACTCTTTCCGCAAGAAGAATACGCCCCGTGTGGCAGCTAACGGTTCAGGCGTAACTTCCCCAAAGATACAACGGCAAACGTCTCTAAATCTGTAGCACACCAGATTTACGAGCTCCGGCGAACTGGAACGGAGTCGAGAATTGAGCACTTAAAAATATGAATAAAAATATCTCTCTTTTGTTATTTTGATAACAAACAAATATTTCTATAATTTTTCCTCTAATATTTTTATTCCTACAAAATTATTTTGGACAAATTTTTCTTTCTTTTCTTCCTCTTTCTTTCTCTTTTTTTTTCTTTTCGGTGTACCTTTTCTCAGCAAAATGACTGACTATTTATAGAGATGCAATTGAGATCAAATTGCAATTGAATAATTGATACAATTAATTAAAAATGGTTGGCAAAAACTGATTGAGAAATGATTGGGTTAAGTTGGAAAATGGTTGGCCTAACCATTAATAATTGGTTGAGAACGTGATGTTTGTCTTGGTTGTCCAACTTAATAATACACTCACAATTAACTTAATAATACACTCACAATTATATAACAATCCCCCACATGAGTGTAAATTAAATATAGGCAGACTAGTTTGCTCAATCCTCACAAAACTCTATTGCATCAGAGAAGGTAGCTTTTGGCTTTGAACCTTTCTTAGTAAACATCATTGGATGTACTGGCGGACTAGTGGACATAATGCCTTGAACTATTCCTCCATAGTGTACACCTAGACAATGACATCCACACAATAGAGTCTTAACTCCATTTCGTTCTATCGTTGTGTCCGTTTTGGCCATGGACAACACAATGGATTCGTAAGTGTTTACATTTGAAGCGGCCCACACTTCACACTTATATAGGTGACCTCCCTATCAAGAGTATCCTGTATTACTCCACCTTTACAAGGTTAGGGATTCATTAAAAGTCCACATGACTTACCCTTACCACAATCAATAGGTCATCATCACTTGGAGTGCTCTAGGGAATAGCTTTGGACATTCATATGTTCCAAGTGCTCAACTGAATTTTCATAGCTTAGTTTTCCCTTTGAACCAAGTTCGTGGGATCTCCACTCAGCATGGTAGGGTTACCACTATGATCATTCTTTTCATTGTGGATTTTTAAACCCATTCCCTCTAGCAAAACTACCAATTGATCTCTATTCAATCCTTTCGTCAAAGGATCAGCCAAATTTTCTTTAGACTTCACATAGTCAATGGATATAGCACCATTGGTGATCAATTGTCGTACGGTATTATGTCTACGACGAATATGTCTAGACTTACCGTTATACAAGTTGCTTTGTGCCCTTCCTATAGCAGCTTGGCTATCACAATGAATCATCACAGGCGGCAAAGTCTTATCCCAACATGGAATATCAGACAAAAAATTTCTAAGCCACTCGGCTTCTTCACCAGCTTTATCTAAAGCAATGAACTTCGATTCCATAGTTGAGCGAGCTATACACGTTTGTTTTGTGGATTTCCACGAAACTGCACCTCCTCCAATACAGAAAACGTATCCGCTAGTGGAGCGAGAATCTCTCGAATCTGATATCCAGCTTGCATCACAGTACCCTTCAAGTACGGCTGGGTATCTCGAGTATTTTAGCTCGTATTCAAGAGTGTACCTTAAGTACTTAAGTACCCTTCTCAAAGCATTCCAGTGTTCATGACTTGGATTGCTCGTAAATCTACTCAACTTATTCACCGGGTATGCCAAGTCTGGTCGTGTACAATTCGTCAAGTACATCAGACTTCCTATTATCCGTGAATATTCCAACTGAGCCACTGGTTGACCTTTATTGGCTACCAGATTTATACTGAGATCAGTGGGTGTCTTACACCTAGACTGTGCATCGTCATAGGTATCAAATTTCTTGAGCACTTTCTCTACATAATGAGATTGTGACAAGACAATTCCATCTTGGGTTCTGATAATCCTTATTCCAAGAATAACATCTGCCAAACCCATATCTTTCATGTCGAAATTTCTTTTCAACATTCTTTTCGTATCCATGATCACTTCATGGCTACTCCCCATGATCAACATATCGTCTACATATAGACATACAATCACAAATGCATTTGATGTACTCTTTACATAAACACATTTGTCACATTCATTGATTTTGAACTCATTTGATAACATCACGTCATCAAATTTCAAATGCCATTGTTTTGGAGCTTGTTTCAGTCCGTACAAGGATTTGATCAATCTACACACCTTTCTCTCTTGTCCAGGTGCAACAAACCCTTCAGGTTGTTCCATGTATATTTCTTCTTCCAATTCACCATTTAAAAATGCCGTCTTGACATCCATTTGGTGAATCTCAAGATTGTGCAAAGCAGCAATCGAGAGAAGCACTCTTATCGACGCTAAACGCGTAACTGGTGAATAGGTATCAAGGAAATCATACCCTTCCTTTTGTTTAAAGCCTTTGACCACCAAACGTGCTTTAAACTTATCAATCGATCCATCAGCTTTATATTTCTTCTTTAGGATCCATTTACATCTTAAAGGTTTACAACCATCAGGGAGATCAACCAACTCCCAAGTATGATTTTGCATAATGGACTCGATTTCGCTATTTACAGCTTCTTCCCAGAGTGGTCCATCTGGGCTGGACAGAGCTTCCTTAAGGGAACTCGGTTCATCGTCCAACATATACGTAATAAAATCAGGTCCAAACGTTTTCGCCGTTTTTAACCTTTTACTACATCTCGGTTCTTCATCAGTACCATCTGGTACAGAACCACTAGCAGTTTCATATGTTCGTTTATTAGAACTAGATTCTGCCCTTTCCTTTAGAGGAAATATATTCTCGAAGAATATAGCATTCCTCGACTCAATCGTGGTACCAACAGATACCTCTGGATTTTCTGATTTATGAACCAGAAATCTATATGTTGTACTATTGTACGCATATCCAATAAATACACAATCGACCGTCTTTGGCCCGATTCTCGTTTGTTTGGGTTCCGGTACTGAAACCTTAGCCAAACACCCCCACACTTTCAGGTATTTATAAGACGGCTTACGATTTTTCCACATTCCGTAAGGAGTCTCATCTTTCCTTTAGGTGGTATTTTATTCAGGATATGATTTGCTGTTAAAACAGCTTCCCCCCACATGTTTTGGGGTAATCCTGAATTTATCAACATTGCATTCATCATTTCTTTTAAAGTATGGTTCTTGCGTTCAGCAACACCATTTGACTGTAGAGAATAAGGGGCAGTCGTTTGATGAATTATGCCATATTCGGAACATATTTGTTCAAAAGGAGCTACATACTCCCCACCCCTATCACTTCGGATTATTTTAATCCTTTTGCCGAGTTGATTTTCAACTTCGGTCTTATAGATTTTAAATGCTTCCACAGCCTCGTCTTTGCTTCTTAATAAATATAAGTAGCAAAACCTTGTGCAATCATCGATAAAAGTAATAAAATACTTTTTACCTGTTCTTGTTTGCACACTTTTCATATCACATACATCAGTATGGATTAAGCCTAATGGTTCAGTACACCTTTCCACCGAGTGAAAAGGCAACTTAGCCATTTTTGCTTCAATACAAATTTCACATTTCTTATGTGATTCAATTTTAGAATTTGGAATTAATTCTAAATTCATCAACCGTTTAATTGCATTTTGATTTACGTGTCTCAATCTAATATGCCATAAATCAGTACACTCAACGGTATAAACAGAAATAGGCTTTTCATTATCATTTAAAACGGTTACACGGCTCACGGCCATTACATTCATTTTAAACATACCTTTGTCGAGATAGCCACGACCAAGAAAAGTTCCAAACTTGCTAAGAACAAATTTCTTAGCATCAAATACCAGCCTAAATCCATGCTCAACAAGAAGAGATCCGGAGACCAAATTCTTGCGGATGTCTGGGACATGCAGAACATCCTTAAGCTTCAACTCCTTTCCAGAAGTCAGCTTCAGCACCACAGTGCCCACTCCAGCCACATCAGCCGTGGCGGAGTTTGCCATGTAAAGTTTCCGACTCTTAGCAGGAGTGTATTCAGAGAACACCTCCTTATCGGAACACACACGACGAGTGGCACCAGTATCGAT